ACTAAAATAAATCCCAGCACTGGGGAGGATAAGGCAAGAGGATCACAAGTTTTGAATACTGCCTGAGCTACATAGTAAGTTCTGGACCAGCCTGGACTACATAAGTAAGACCTAGTTTCAGAAAACCAGGGAGGGAGGGAAGAGGAAGAGAGGGAAGTCTACGTACTAATACTGCAGCAGAAGGACTCAAGCAAACTGTCAAGTTTTTAAATATAAAAAACAAATAATGCCTAGCATGCCTGAGGAGTGGATTCAATACTCAAAGTTAAAAACCGAACAAGTTCACTAACCCTCATTGTCTCTGATACATCAAATTACAAAAATGAAGACACTGCTAATAAACCTGTATTAATAAAGTAAATCCAAGATGTGTAGATATATAGAACTTTCAAAAACAAAAGATACACAGAATTTAAATTCTGTTACTTTCTACAAATCTCTGTATGTTTCATAAATTTTTAAGCCACATAAAAACTGTAGTTTAAAAAAAAAACTGTAGTTTTTAAACATGTATTTTTATACATGTATTTGTGTTTAGTTGAAGATCAGTTAGATGTTTTCATTTGTAATAAATATTTTAGGAAAGATATTTACCTTCCAGCTTCATTGTTTTTCAAAGTTGAATTATTTGAAGCCTATTTTCATAAATTTTTAAGCCATTCCTCACAAAATGATACACACTCCCCTTTAAATGTTGTATCATTCTTCATATCACTATTGGGTCATTTCCCATTAGCAAATATAGAAATAAGAATCTATAGTGATAACATATAAAATGTAAATACCAGTCTACACTGGTACACTAAAAATGTTGCAATTCAGTCTCAAAACTATGTCTTTGTTTTGGAGTCTATGATCAAAAACATTTCAGTGGGGCAGCAGGGAGATAGCTCAATGGAATAAGTTCTTGTCTGGCAAGCGCAAGGTCCTGAGTTCTATCCCTGGTACCACCAAAAAAATAAAAAACATTTCAGTAAGAGTAGAGTAACTAAAGACAAGGAGGAGAAGGGGGGTTGAACAGAAGGTAGGATAATGGGGGGAAGAATCAAATTATACCAAGTATATACACATTCCCTATCATAAATGCGATCATTATGTATACCTCACATGAACCAATAAACTTAATTTAAAAAGAGCAACTAACGACAAAAAAAAAAAAAAAAAAAAATTAAGGAGAAGATACTTGTATTTAAAATTCCAAATATCCAAATTGCTTTACCAAAACAATATCCTGTGGATTAAAAAGTTTTATAAAGAAAATATAAGAAAATTCTATGCCTTTCTTGTGAAAAATTGTTCAACATAACTGTTCCAGTTCTGAGGTCACACATGCAACCACAGTCCTCCCTCAGTATATTTGGGGAATTGGGCCCAGAACCACCACCACACCCCACCGCGCCACCTCCCCAGCCCACCCCAAGTAGATAACCAAGGTCAGCAGATGCTCACGTCCCTTATGTAAAATAGTACAGTACATGCATATAGCCTATATACATCCTCTCGTACTTCTTCTAGCCTCTCTAGACAATTTTAAATGCCTGTTACACTGCACTGTTTAGATGATAAGATAAAAATGGTCAATAGAGACACTCTTTTCCTCAAGTAGCTTCTACATCTAGTTGGATGCAAAGCATGAAGATATGGAAAACCAACTGTATTTCTAAGCAGAACTGATTTTGATTACTAGCATTATATTATCTAAGACACTTTGTCTTAAATGCTAAATTTAATTATGACAGTACATGCTGCCAATTAGTTTATTAAAAAAAACAATGTAAACTTAAATAATTTGGCTCCTCAACTTTTTTACTGAACTTTATAGATGTTAGATACATCTTTAGCCTACCATTAGGCAAGGCGCAGCAGTACAAATCTCATTGGCCTGTAAAATCTCTACTGCCAAAACAGACATGATCAACCTCCAGTACCAGTCCCCTGCAAAGCAAGTGTAATACAAAGCGCGTATAAAAGGAGAATGCCAACTTTGTCTCTACTAAGATGAAAAGAACATGCAGTCAACAGGACAGGGATTACTGCTAATAATATATATCCCAAAGTTATCAAGGTTAGCAGACCAAATGGATTTGGGTAGAAGTAGATATAAAAAAAACTTACATCATCTAGGGTGTGAAAGTATGCTAGAAATGAACTTAAAACACAGTTGCATATATTGTCATATATCCTTTATAATTATAACACCAACATACCTTCCTATACAAATAGTACTTTCTGAGTTGAATATAAAAAAAGATAGTGATGCTTCTTTTGGGCAACAATTATTTGAATGCCCTAAACTTGGCATAGAACAGTAGTTATTAGTAGTTTATAAACTAATATTTCATCAAAATGCCACTTGTTGGATGCCCTATATAATCTTCACGTAAAAATACCAGAACCCAGCGTGCCGTGCTGGCCCTACCCCTGGGTGTGCTGAGACAGATTGAGACTGGGCATGGGGGCATGCACCTGTAATCCCAGCGCTTGGGAGGTTGAAAACAGAAGGATCACTATGAGCCCAATCTGTATAGTGAGACCCTGTGCTAAATACATTTAAAAAAAAAAAATACCATAACTGTACTTGTTCTCTTCTAATCTAAACTATAAATTGAACATACAATAAATAGTAAAAGAGCCAGGGGTATAGCTCAGTGGCACAGAGCCTGCCTGGCAACCGTGAGGTTGTGAGTACAATTCCTGGTACCAAAAGAGAGGGAAGGAGGGAGGGAAAGAGAGGGAGAGAGGGAGGGAGAGGGAGGGGAGGGAGAGAGGGAAGGAAGAAGAGAGGTGGAGGAAAGGGGAGGGGAGGGGGAGGAGAGGGAGAGAGGAAGAGAAGGGAAGAGAAGGACGGAGGGGAGGAGAGGGAGAAGGGCGGGGAGTGAGGGAGAGGGAGGGGGAGAAGGAAAGGGAGAGCGAGGGGAGAGGGAGAGGGAAAGGATAAAAAAAGAAAGAAAAAGAAAAAAAGCAGCTCCCAGAATAGGCTTCTAAATCTAGCTATATCACTCTTAGAGGCTTCTAACAAATTGCCTATAACCTTCTTTAATGTCAAACAGACACATCATTTAAAATCTCTAAAAGTCTTAAATGCTTATCTGCACCCAATCAAGTATAGGACCATGTTGTATACGTGCTCAAAACATGTTGATATTCTGATAAGGAAGGTAGAGCTTTATGACTGCCAACATTTCTGCACCAGTCAGAACCCTCCATAAGGTTTGCATAAAAAGTTAACCACTGTCACACACAGATGTTCAAAACTGAATAAATAAATGATAAAAGGAGGAGTAAAGGAGAGAGAAAAATAAAGAGGTGGATTCAATGAATAATAAACAGACTAACAACAAGAATGAAGAGCACACAACATGTAATTTTATACAAAGAAATAAAGAATCTCACCAAAAGCAATAATGAAGCATAAAGAACATTTTAAGAAACAGTCATTATGCAGTACATATGTGAATATCCTAACAGCAGAAACTCTAAGGTACCCAATATCCTAATAAAAACAAACAGCATAGTAGTAATACCTGTAGTAGTGATATTAAAAGTAAAAGTGATAAAGAGGAAAACACAATCCCACTAAGAGACTTTAGGTAAAGAAGAAAAGACAGCTTTTAAAAAAAAATACAAGATACTAGAGAGACTATGAAAAAAGAAGACAATTTCAGCATACAATGAAAAATTAAAAATAGACTAGCTAGCCATCATGGTACGCACTTGTAATCCCAGCACACAGGAGGCTGAGGTAGGAGGATCACAAATTGAAGCCCAAATCATAAGTTCAAGGTCAGCCTAAGCTATACAGCAAGACCCTATCTCAAAAAATAAAGATAGCAAAAATTAGAAAACAATTTAAAATAACATTCTTGAGATTAAGGGCTTCTTCAGCAAGATAAAAAAAAAATCAAGAAGACTTAAATATACTGCCAAATTTAGCTGCATAAAAACTAAACTTTTCACACAACCCACTCAGGACCCCTTCTGTCTCTTTCCCCAGTAAATATATTCTGCTTTAAAAAAAAAAACTCTTCACTTATGGAAAACACCATTAAAAAAATTAAATGCATAGCAACAGACTGAGCAAAAAGTATTTATAAATCCACAAAATAAAATGAATGATAACTGGCATTTATTATATTGGCAGGGGAGATAGTTCAGCAGTCTACACACCTGCCTGGCAAGCACATGGACCCGGGTTCAATACCTATTAGCCCATGCCATGCCAGCCCCAGGACTCCAGGTGCCAAAACCCAGTATGGTGGTGCACGCCTGTAATCTCAACACTGGGGAGGCTGAGACAGGAGGATTACTACAAGTCTGATCTGCATAGTGAGACCCTGTACCAGGGAAAGGGAGGGAAGGGGAAGGGAGGGG